CATGCTGTTTCTCAGCAGAGAGTGATAATCAGTTATTTAGCGACTACACTCTAAGTATTAAGGAGCTCTGGTAGCGTAGTGGTTACGAATCGGGCTGCGAACCTCAAGGTCAGCAGTTCGAAACTACCAGCTGTTCCGCGGGATAAAGATGAGGCTTTCTGCTCCCGTAAAGATTTACAGCCTCGGAAACCCTGTACAGGGTCGCTATGAGTCGGAACCGACTCCACGGCACTTAACAATAACAACTCTAAGTATTGGTCCACTTCCTGTTTCTCTAAATCAGTCTGCAAAATGCCATCAAACTGGGAAAGAATGTAAAGCATCATTCTTTTTGGAAATCAGCATCATCTAAGGTCCTTTGGAAAATAATGTTGTTATTGTTAGATGCTGCCAAGTTGGTTCCAACTCCCAGGAACCCCAAGTACAACAGAATGAAGCACTGCCCAGTCCCACACCACTGCCACAACCCTTCCTGTTTCAGTCCATTGTGATGGACACTATGCCAGTCCATCTCATTGAGGGTCTTCCTCTTTTTCACTGACCCTCTACCAAACATGATATCTTTCTCCGGGGACTGATCCTCCCTGACAACGTGTCCAAAGTATGTGAGACAAAGTCTCACTATCCTGGCTTCTAAGGAACATTTTGACTGTAATGCTAAGACAGATTTGTTCACTCTTGTTAATAATGTGTCTTCATGATATAAATGTATGCTTTGATTTGACACAAGAGAGTCTCATCCATTCCAGTACCAGTCAGCCAGCTTAAGAACTGTCTGAGGGTCACACCACTGTCCCTCCATAAGAGCCATCCTGGACCCAGCTGTCCTTAGTTTCCCCTTCCCTCCAGAATGTCTGCTTCCTGAAGGAGAACTGACCCCCCTTTCTTCTTGGTTCAGTTCCTCTAGCTCAAGGCCACAGGTCAGTAGCCAATGTTTAGGACATAGGCTTGCTTTGCCAATTATTGTCTTCTTCTTTTTTAAGTTTTCATTGTGAATTCAGTGATACTTTACATGGGAGAACATCAGTTTTGCACTCACCCTATTGTATTTCATATCGTTGCAATGGCTGCAATTCCTTCCGTGTATCATCATTCAACAGTATTTGCTTCCATTCCCTCTGTGTTTTTTTTTTGGAGGGGGGATGTACACAAAAACACTCAGGACTATATAATCATTAAAACAACCAAAGGGCACATTCTACAAGTCTGCCTCCTGGCCGCCAGCACACAGCCTTTCTCTTTCCATGAGTCTAGAGTCCTCAGCTGCTCTCTCTCTCCATGTCCTCATCTCTTCCTCCATCTCTGGTATCACTGCTTCTCTGGATAGGGTCTCACATTCCTTATTTTTTTTAAAAAAAAGATCCTAGGCCTCCTATTGTCAGGGCAGGCCTAGTCCCATGAGGTCACCGCAGCTGCCACCACTTACGATGTCAGAGATCACACTGCTAATCTAAAGGCCCCAGGCACTGGATAATATCACCCACATCGTAGTCACCAGCAGGGCTCTGGGAATGCCACCCAGCTGCAGTGCTGCCAAGCTTGGAAGGAATTCTCTACAGTCCTTGGTTCTGGGGCACCAGCTCCTGAATCTAGCAGTGATTGTTAGGGGTCGTCATGGTCCTCGGTCCTCAAAACATGTAAGGTGAGCACTCCCCAGTCTAGGAAGGGAGCTTGAGCTTAGCAGTCAAGAAGAATGTCCTCTGTCTGTTGCTGATCTAGCTGACCGAGGAATCTGTGTTGCTCAGACCACATCCACCAGTGTTGCTGGTCCGGCCCCTGCCACCTCCCTCCACTTCTTCCTGAGACCCTGGATAATCTTCTGTTTTCACACAAGCTTGAAGCCAAAGCCTGAGACTGGACCATTCCCCTTCCTCCATGGTTTTTCAAAAGTCTGTCAGTTTGTCGTATTGTGGTGTCTTGTGAGTTGCTGTGATTCCAGAAGCTATGTCACAGGTATTTTAAATACCAGCGGGGTCACCCATGGTGGACAGGTTTCAGATGAGCTTCCAAATGAAGACAGACCAGGAAGAAAGAGTGACAGACTACTTCCGAATATTTAGTTACTGAAAACCTAATGAATAGCAGAGAAACACTGTCAGATATAGTGCCAGAAAATGAGCCTCTCGGGTTGGAAGGCACTCAAAATGTGACTGGGGAAGAGCTGCCTCCTCAAAGTAGAGTTGACTATGATGACAAGAAAGGAGTAAAGCCCATGGGAGAAAAGCCCATGGGACCTTCATTTGCTGATGGGACACAACTCAAAATGAAGAGAAACAGCTGTAAACATCCATTAATCATTGGAACATGGAATGTAGAAGCATGAATCTAGGAAAATTAGAAATTGTCAAAAATGAAATGGAACACATAAACATCGATATCTTAGGCATTAGTGAGCTGAAATAGACTGGTTTGGCTATTTTGAATCTGACAACTATACGGATAGTATGAAGAGAAATAGTGTTGCTTTCATTGTCAAAAAGAACATATCCAGATCAGTCATGAGGTACAACTCTGTCTGTGATAGGATAATATCCATGTGCCTACAGGGAAGACCAGTTAATACCACTATTATTAAAATTCATGCACCAAACACTAAACCCAGTGATGATTAAATTGAAGAATCCTACCAACTTCTTCAATCTGAAATTGATCAAACATGCAATCAAGATGTATTGATCATTACTAGTGACTGGAATGCAAAGGTTGGGAACAAAGAGGAAGGATCAGTAGTTGGAAAATATGGCCTTGGTGATAGAAATGATGCTGGAGATCACATGACAGAATTCTGCAAAATCAATGATTTGTTCATTTCAAATACCTTCTGTAGACAGCATAGGAGATGATTATACACATGGATCTCACCAGATGGAATACACAGAAATCAAATTTACTACATCTGTGGAAAGAGATGGTAGAAAAGCTCCATATCATCAGTGAAAACAAGGTCAGGGGCAGATTGTGGACCAGACCATCATTTGCTTATATGTAAATTCAAACTGAAGCTGAAGAAAATCAAAACAAGTCCACGAGAACCAAAATATGACCTTGAATATATCCTACCTGAATTTAGAGATCATCTGAAAAACAGATTTGATAAATTAAGCACTAGAGACTTAAGACCAGAAGAGTTGTGGGATGATATCAAGAACATCTTACAGGAAGAAAGCAATACACCATTAAGAAGACACGAAAGAAGGAAAAGATCAAAATGGATGTCAGAAGAGACACTGAAACTTGCTCTCCAGCATAGAGATGCTAAAGAAAATGGAAGAAATGAGGAGGTACAAAAGCTGAACAGAAAATTTCAAAGGTCAGCCCAAGAAGACGAAGTCAAATATTACAATGAAATGTGCAAGGATCTGGAGTCAGAAAACCAAAAGAGAAGAACATACTCAGCATTTCTCAAGCTGGGGGAACTGAACTAAAAATTCAAGCCTCGACTTTCGTTATTGAAGGATTCTCTGGGCAAATTATTGAATGATGGAGGAAGCATCAAAAGAAGATGGAGGGAATACACAGAGTCACTGTGCCAAAAAGAAATGGCTGATGTTCAACTGTTTCAAGAGGTAGCATATGATCAAGAGCTAATGATACTGAAGGAAGAAGTCCAAGGTGCATTGAAGGAATTGGCAAAGAACAAAGTCCAGGAATCTATGGAATAAAAATAGAAATCTTTCAAGAAAGTGAGGCGGCACTGGAGGCACTCACTCATCTATGCCAGGAAATTTGGAAGACAACTATCTGGCTGACTGATTGGAAGCGATCCATATTTGTGCCCATTCTAAAGAGAGGTGACCCAATGGAATGCGAAAATCATCGGACAATATCTATGATATCCCATGCGAGTAAAGTTTTACTAAAGGTAATACTGCAAGCATATATTGACAGAGAACTTTCAGAGGTTCAAGCTGGATTCAGAAGAGACTGTGGAATGAGGGATAGATATCATTGCTGATGTCCGATGGATCTTGGCTGAAAGCAGAAAAGACCAGAAAGATGTTTACCTGTGCTTTATTGACGACACAAAGGCTTTTGATTGTGTGGTCATGACAAGCTATGGACAATATTGTGAAGTATGAGTATTCCGGAACACTTAATTGTGCTCATGAGAAATCTGTACATGGACCAAGAGGCAATTGTTCAAACAGGACATGGGAACACTGAATGGTTTAAAATTAAGAAAGGTATGTGACAGGGTTGTATTCTTTCACCATACTGATTCAATCTGTATGCTGAGTAAATAATCTGAGAAGCTGGGTTCTATGAAGAAAAACGTGGCATCAGGATTGGAGGAAGACTCATTAACAACCTGCGATATACAGATGATACAACCTTGCTTGCTGAAAGTGAAGAGGGCTTAAAATATTTACTGATGAAGATCAAAGAGCACAGCCTTCAGTATGGATTGCATCTCAATGTAGAGAAAACATAAATCTTCACCACTGGACCAATACACAACATTCTTATCAATGGAGAAAAGATTAAAGTTGTCAAGGACTTCATTCTTCTTGGATCAACCATCAACACTCATGGAAGCAGCAGTCAAAAAATCAAATCAGGCAAATCTGCTGCACGAGACCTTTTAAAATTGTTGAAGAGCAAAGATGTCAGCTTGAGGACTAAGGTGCACCTGACCCAAGCCATGGTATTTTCAGTGACCTCATATGCATGCAAAAGCTTGGCAGTGAATAAGGAAGACTGGAGAAGAATTGATGCTTTTGAGTTATGGTGTTAGAGGAGAATATTGCCATGGCCTGTCAAAAGAACCAACAGATCTGTGTTGGAAGAAGTGTTGCCAGAGTGCTCTTTGGAGGCCATGATTGTCAAACTTCATCTCTTGTACTTTGGACACATTGTCAGGTGGGATCAGTTGCTGGAGAAGGATATCATGTTTGGTAGGGTGGAGGGTCAGAGAAAAAGAGGAAGACCCCCAGCGAGATGGATTGGCAAAGTGGCAGCATCAATGGGCTCTAGCGTGGCAACAATTGTGACAAAAGACTCTAAAGCCATTTAGGAAATGTCTCTAAGAGGGCTTTGAACCCACTCTTCCTGGTTCAGTCATGGCTGAACAATCAACACTAGAATAGAGCCGAATTTGTAAAATGTGGGTGCACTGGAATGATAACCAGAGTGGAAAAATTACAGGATGACACCCTGCTAGAAACTTTCATTTCTTCTTAGAAAACAAGAGCAACCATATCTCTTCACCAGCAGATTCAGAAACAGTGATGCACTCCCTTGAATGTGTGTCAATTTCCGCAGTCTGAGCGGTGATCCAGTCTTCTGCATCAAGCTTCTGAAAAGGGCTCACTGCTTCCCTACCAAGTCTATTCCAGGGCTTCAACTCACTTTTCCTGCTCCAGCTAGCCTCCCAGTACACCCACATTTTAGAAATTTGGATTTTTTCTGGGAAACCTCTTTGGCCATGACTAAACTGGCTCAAAGGAGCTCTGGTAGTGTAGTGGTTTCGAACTGGGCTGCTAATCTCACGGTCAGCAGTTCGAAACTACCAGCTGTTCCACGGGAGAAAGATGAGGCTTTCTGCTGCCGTAAAGATTTACAGCCTCGGAAACCCTATACAAGGTCGTTATGAGTCGAACCGACTCCAGGCACATAATAACAACAAACTGGCTCAAGGAATCCTGGTGTGGCCCTTTGGGCTAATTCGTCAGACTGCAAAGTCGTTTGAACTGCAAGGCTGGTGGTTCAATCTCACCAGCTGCTCCTTGGAAACCCTATACAGGGTCACTATGGGCCGGAATCAACCCGACGGCACTTAACAACAACAACAAACTGGCTTAAACCAGTTTGAAGCTCTGGTCTTCTAAGAGCTGAAAACAGAGCTTTTAGTAGTACGTTAGAAGCTGACCTGCCACCTAGTGGCCACAGGTAAGAATTACTCAACCTTAGGGGAGGACGATTGTAGGCCAGTTTGGGGCTAATGCGCTGGATTGCAAAGTCAGTTTGAATCACAACGTCGGCGGTTCAAGCTGACCAGCTGCTCCTCAGAAACCCTATACTGGGTCACTATGGGTCTGAAGAAGTCCTGGTGTGGCGCTGTGGGTTAATGCGCCAGACTGAAAAGCCGTTTGAACTGCAAAGTTAGCTGTTCAAGCTCACCAGCTAGCTGCTCCTTGGCAATCCTATTGCTATGGGTCGGAACCGACTTAATAGCAGTTAACAACAACATATGGGTTGGAACCGACTTGGCAGCATTTACCAACAACTACAACATCCCTTTACTCACTTAGGGGTGGCGGTGTCAAGGGGTGACCTGGAGGATTGAGCTTTGGGGAGAGATTTTAGCTTCACCATAATTTCCATCGTTTTCCCCAAAGCCACTGAAATGAAAACATAATAACTGATGTCTTTTAAAAGTTATGCAAGACACTCTGTTTCTTTGGTTCTTGCCGTCCATAAGTGTTGATGCTTCATGCTCTTTCCAGATCACACATAATCCACATGGTTCTACTCAGACACCAACATTTCTTGGGTGCTTAGTTATGGACTTGGAGTCCTGGTGTGGCACTGTAGGATAAGCACTGAACTGCTAACCATGAGGTCAGTGGTTCAAATCCACCAGTCTCTCCTGGAAACCCTATACAGGGTTCTAGGAGTTGGAACCCACTTGAGGGCAATTAACAATAATTATTGGTTTGATGGACATTGTGTGGTTTACAACAGACTTAAAAGACATGATCCCTGACATCAAGGGACCTCAATTTACCTGGGAATATAAAACAGGGGTAGCTACAGAGCCCCCTGGCATGCATGGAAGATGTTTTAGCCCACAAACTTCTATGCATTTGTTTGCTTTCTCTTCCTCAGCCTAATTTGGACTCTGAGCCACCATTCCACGTAGGAGATGGGCATTCAACTTGAGGAATATGCCCAGGGTTGAGCCAATGATTTGAGCCTTCTGCTGTATTGAAGTGTTGGGGATGGCCCTCTGGTCACTGGCCATCTGTCCATGCTGATGACTGCTGGGGATTTGCCATCCAGCCCTCATGGTCTCATCAGGACTGCTGATCCATGGTGTTTACAGCATACTTGGGGCTGTTGTTGTTGTTAAGTGCCATTGAGTCGATTCTGACCCACAGCAACCCTGTATAGTGTTTCCAAGGAGCAGCTAATGAGCTTGAACCACCAACCTTGCAGTTCAAACAACTTTGCAGTCTGGCACATTAGCCCACAGCGCCACAAGGAGGCAGGCAGCTCAGGCCAAGAACCCAGCCCTCAGATCCAGCTGTTGACTTGAAGGTCCTGTGGGGGAAGCAGTCTGGTACAGATGCCCTGCTTTCTTGTTTGCAGGACCCACAGTGTCCCGCTCCTCCCCTCAGTCTGGGCAAGCTCCTCTCAGTGCCCTGTGATCACTCCCTTTCTCTTCCTTCTGCCTTCCCCTCAATTTCAGTTCTCCCCAGTGAGTTTAAGCCATCTACCATCAAGTTGATTCAGACTCCTGGAAACCCCACGTGTATCAGAGCAGAACTGTGCTCCATAGGAGTTTCAGTGGTAGGTTTTTCAGAAGTAGATTAACAGGCCTGCTCCATAGGCGTTTCAGTGGTAGGTTTTTCAGAAGTAGATTAACAGGCCTTTCTTTCGAGGCATCTCTGGGTGAACTCCAACCACCAACTTTCCTGTTAGCAGCTATGTGTGTTGACAGTTTGCAGGGACTTTTGTTAGAAACTTCTACTTTGGACCGACACCCCACTGAGGCTAAGACATCGAATAGAAAGGGAAGGAGGAAAATACAGTGGGAAACATAAATTAAAATAATGATTCTGACGCATGTGTAGAGAGACCTCAACATTTACCTGCACCCTGCTTTTGGTGAAGCAAAGTGAACCCCACAGGCCTTGATTCCTAGATGCCTCCGCTGACCCAAAGAGTCGCTCTTAGGTATTGACCTTCCCCTCTCCCCCCGCCCCCACACTTTTCCAGTTTTCCACCACTTGTCAAACTAACGTGCCAGGCACCGTGCCTACGGTATTGAAATGACAGCTGGTGGTTTAATAAAAACACAGCCATGAGATATTCTTTCTGATCTCAGCCAGTCCTTTCCTACTTCTGCTAAGCCCTTCGTGCCTTCCCAGGTACCCATGGTGGTGGTGATGGTGGTGTGCCGTGGAGTCGGTTCCGACTCATAGAGACCCTGCATAGGATTTCCGAGGTTGTAAATCTTTACGGGAGCAGAACGCCTCTTCTTTCTCCTGCCGAACAGCTGGTAGTTTGGAACTGATGGCCTTGAGGTTAGCAGCCCGGCTGGTAACCACTACCCTAGCAGAGCTCCTTAATTATTCTTGGGATTAAAAAAAAAAAAAATTCAGAACGATGGACTCTTAGAATACATTGAGAGATTTCTATTTTAGCTTTTCTGGTGAAACAAGGGAGGTCCCAGTAATTGGTGTTGGGGCCACAGCTAGAGATTTTCTCCCTTTGGCCTTGACATTTGTGTCTAAATGCTCTCATTTCCACAGCATCTGCTCGCTCTGATCTCGGAAATCTCGCCCCTTGACCCAGTTTACAATCACTATGGCAACTGCTGTTGTTCACTGACTTTCTCCCCTCTTGCCCTGCCACCTAGCAACCCCATTGCATCCCCAAATTGTCTCTGTGGCTCTCCACCAGTCCCGGAGGGTGCGCCCCCTGGTGGCCCTAGTATCCGAGGGCGCACCCAGAGCTGAGAAACAGCTAGACTTTTATTTGCTCGCTCACAGCCCTGGCCTTGGCATCCGTCCACCGAAGGTTCGGCTGTCTCTTGGTCTTTTCCCTGCCACCATTCGGCTTGCCAGGACTTCTCTCGCGCCGAGACTTCTTTCCAGACCAGACCTGTTGCTATGGTGTGTTCACGAAACTGTTTTGAAAGGTAAGGGAATATCATAAGCACCAATCCAGTCTCGAGACTGATTGAACATTAAAGAGAGCTTCAGATTCAAAGGACTTTAAACCCATCTACCATCTTGGCAGCAAGTGGAACCTGGGTCAGATTCCGTGTTTTTATGGGGTAGGGGGAGAGCATGAGGTTGGTGTGAGTGAAAACTGCCTTTCAGAAGGGCAATGAACATTTTTTTCCTTCTTATAGTTTTATTATTTACATTTAAATCTTTTGAAAAATTATTTTGTTGTTGAGAATATACACAGCGAAACACACCAACTGATCCGTTTTACAGCGACGTTGATTTCATTCCCATCCTCCTTTTCTGAGTTCTCCCTCCTCCTGTAACATACACTCCCTGCCAACTAAGGTTCCTAGCTAGTCCTTGAAGTTCCTGTTGCCACTTTGATTCCATATGGACAGTTCTTAAAAGAACATATTGCTCAAGGCAGACATTAAAAAAGAAAATTAGTTTAGCTAAACTATTTGTTTTTCTTTTGTTTCAAAATATGTTATTGCATTTTAGATGAAAAAGTTTACAAGGCAAATGCAGTTCCCATATTGTTTAGTTTTAAGAAGACTTCAGGGGATATTTTAGGGTTAAGTTTTAAAGGTGATCTCAAGGTAATAATTTCAGGGGCTCATCCAGCCCCCCTGGCTACAAATGTATGGAGTCCATGAGAGTTTGAAATTCTGCTTTTTTCCTCTTTTGATCCGAATTCTTCTATAGAATCTTGGATCAAAATGTCTAGTGATGGTAGCCAGGTATCATTCAGTTCTGGCTTCATGGAGGCAGTTTTCAATTTTTTTGGAAATAAATTTTTTTTGAAATATTAAATTTATGTTTTTATTATAGTATAGCAGTTGTGCTCAGCTTCTCTTCTGAGTCTGTGTTGAAGAAACAGTCATGTGTGTGCAAATGCTTCCATGTATAAGGATATTTGCAATGACATTATTTGTAGAAGCCAAAAAATGAGAAAGAGCAGAAATGTCCACAACAGTGAGATTACAATATGAGGGTGCTGCACTATGGAATACTATGCAGCATGGTAAAAGACTGAGATGGAGCTGGGGGCTGCTCTAGCATTGAAAGGTAGCCATATTGTTCCACAGAAGAAAAATGAGGCTTTCTGTTCCTGTAAAGATTTACAGTCGCTATGAGTCAGAACCAACTCCATGGGCACATAACAACAACAAAAAGACCTATTGTTACAGGAGGAATCCTGGTGCGGCAGTGTACGGTAATGCAATGGACCTCAAGGTCGGGTTGAACTTCAAGGTCTGTTGTTCAAGCTCACCAGCTGCTCCTTGGAAACCCTATACAGGATTGCTATGGGTCAGAACTGACTTGACACCACTTAACAACAACAACATTTTTAAAGGAAAGTAAGTGACAGAAATCATGTGGTTATATGATTTCACTTCTGGTAAAACAGACTATGAAGGCATCCTGGTGTGGTGCTGTAAGATCAGCACTGGACAGCGAACCACAAGGTCAGCAGTTCAAGTCTACCAGCTGCTCCTTGGAAACCCCATGAGTCGGAACCGACTCAATAGCACTTGATAACAACAATATGTATGTGTGTGTGGTCCTATATAATACAAGGACATATGTATTGTGAGCCTACCACATGCTGGATAGTGTTCTAAATGCTTTCCTGGCATTAACTCTTTTAATCCTCAAAACTCCAAGCACATGGATGCTGTTATTAGTCTGAGTACATGGATGAGGAGACCGAGGCACTGGGAAATTGGGTCACATGCGCAAGGGTCCACAGTAGTAGAGACTGGGCTGAGCTTAGGTAGTCAGCTCTAGAGCCCCTGTTTTTAATCATCCTCTATCGTCCCTTCGGTAACTCACACACACATGTGATTCCAAGTACTTGAGAAAAAGGCGTGGGAATGCGCACCTGAAGTGATTCCTGTGAACATTTTGGGTAGGGAGAGTGGACTGTGGAGGACAGAAAAGAGGACTTTCAGTTGCTCCCTGGTGTGGCACTATAGCAGTGGACTGCTAACCTCAAGGTTAGCGGTTCAAACCCACCAGCCGCTCCTCGGAAACCCTATACAGGGTCACTGTTAATCAGAACTAACTTAACAACAACAACATACTTCTGGGTCAGGGAGAGAGGGGTTAGAATTTTTACCAGTAGACACTGTTAGTAACAATAATAAGATTTATGCAATAACACAAATATTATCTCTGCTTTTCTATCAGAATTAATAAGGCAGTGTGCATGCTTTGAGGGGCAGTTTGAGGGGTCACAAGAGCTTCCCACCCAGGTCTGAGACTTAGGACCCCAGCCCCAGTTCCTCCTTGAATGGTTGGAACTGCAAACCTGTACTTCCAGTGGGAGCTGGAACCTGGCCTCCCCCTCTGCCTCGGGTACTTCCTGCAGCTTCCCCGGGGCAAAGAGGCACCACTTTAGGGAAGACAGGCACGGGGTACATGGGGTACATGACAGAAGCACCTGAGCAACCTAAGAAGAGTCAGTTGCAGACCCCGTGTTTCCCCATATCACTGTCATAACCCTCTCGGATCCTGTGGTCACCACCTCCATGTTTGAGACCGGAAGCTGGCTCAGAGATGGAGAGTGCCCACAACCACACTCCCACTGGCAGCTGGTGGCGCGGGAGGGGAGGGAGGGGAGTCTAGCACAGTGGTTGTGAACACAGGCTGGGGGGCCACTTGGACCCATGCTGCCTGTCCAGGATGCATGCTGCCCCTTTCCAGATGTGTTGCTCAGATGCTATAGCTCAGTGACATCTTTTCCCAGGTGGGGGTGACCCCAGTGCTGTGGGGATCAGGTCCCGGTGCCTGTTGACAGAGTACTTGGTACCTGGTGCCATGGGTGCGGGTGGTTGTGATTGATATGATCCTGGCCTATCCCATCACATCAAGGAACCCAGTGTAAGTCACCCCACCTCACTCCCCAAGTCACAGCAGAGTTGAATTTCATGTGTCCCCAACAGCACCCAGCTGGCCCACACTCATTTGAGCAGTCACCCCTTAATCTAAGAGTGTCTGTCCTGCCAGACTTAGCTGAGACATCAGCAGCTCCTCTATGGGCTGCCCTTGTACTCAGCCCTCACCGCTAAACCCCCTGTCTTAACAATAGGCCTCCTATTGGGTGGTGAGTGCTGGGCTGTGGCTTATTCTGTCCAGCTCCCAGAAGCCAGCACACGGTTGGGAGTCACTAAGCTTTGCTAATTAAATGGACTGAAGATGAGAAGGACAGTAAATATTGGGGCTGGACTTGGGAACTAGAAGAAAGTCAGCCACTTGCTGCAGGGTCGGGAGGTCCTAATACAGAGCTCAGGCCAACCAATTAGAGTCCCATGTGAAGAGTCAGGGCCTGAGTAACCTGGAGCTGGGTGGGAGCAACCAGTGGGCCTGGGCTGACCTGAAGTTCACTGTGCCTGTCTTCTTCTCATCCAGCTTCTTTATCAGCTCCCTGATCTGGTACCGGTTCACAGGCACCTTGCTTTGCTGAGGAAGGGTGGATGTGTGAAGTTAATGGAAGTTAATCAGCAGCTCTTTACTGAGCCTCTCTCTCACACATACATACACACAGTGCCTCACTCCTCCTACTACCATGGGTGGCAACTGATTGCTCAGGGGAGCCTGGACCCACAGTAGGGAGGGGCAGGAAGAAGCCCTGGCTCTAGAGACCTCTCTTCTCTAAGGAGCAATATGGGTGAAGAAGATCAGAGGTCTGTGAAATGGGTGGCCCTGGAGTAAACAGACTGTCCCATTGCAGCTTTGGTGAAATTCATTCTTTCTTCTATTCCTTAGACCTGGCCAGCCCTCTTCACCAGGGACCTGGGCACTGAATGGCCAATCTCTCCCTGTCTGGGCCCTGTCAGACCTTCCATTCCTGTTCCCACAGGGTCCTGCTTTCTCCTAGGCTGCTCTGAGGGCTCTCTTCAGAGGCCTTTAAATCCTCATCATACAGATGAGAAACACAGAATTTCTGGCATGATGATAGGGCTAAAATTGGAACTATTGGAGCTTTGGAATGTGGTCTTATTCCCTTTCATTATCTGCCCATTAACCAAACACAACAGGAAGAAAGACCTTCAAGATGAAGACTGTCTTCAGGTAACGGGGCCTTCAGTGGTGTCAAACCATCCAGCTCAGAGAATGACTCTCAGAAGGGGTACTGAGGGAGGTCTGAAGTTTCCCTCCTGGCCCAGATAAATGATGTGAGCTGCTCACAGCCAATCCCAGGAGGCACACACACACACACACACACTGTCTCTGTCTTTCACACACGTGCTCACACTCACACAGCATCAGGGATCAACACACCTGTATCATTGCTTTCCGGAACTCCCCTACTGACATCGTCATTGTTCCAGCAGGGTTCAAGTTCTTAAAGAAGTCCAAGAGGGTGATCTTTTGCTGGTCCACATAGATCTGAGAAGTGTAGGAAACACCAGGAGTAGACACTTGACCAGATAACAACTTGAACCAACCCCCACCACCTGCCAAAGGGTGGCCCAAGCACCCAGACCTCGAAAGGCTGAGGTGATGGTAAGAAGGCTGAGTTCTGGTATGTCAGCAGCTGTTTAGTATCAAGAGCCCTGCCCAGGCCCAGGCATGGCAGTAGTGTGTGCCATGATGGTTCTTGTATGCCTACCCAGTCTTGAGTAGCCATTTTTGTCACTTTCTATGAATAAAAAACATGAAAGAAACACTCCCAGATACACTAAGACATCTTTGACACAATGTAACAGTTGTTGTTGTTGTTGTTAAGTGCCGTGGAGTCGGTTCCGACTCATAGCGACCCTACACAGGGTTTCCGAGGCTGTAAATCTTTACGGGAGCAGACCGCCTCATCTTTCTCCCGCGGAACCGCTGGTAGTTTCGAACTGCTGACCTTGCGGCTCGCAGCCCGATTCGTAACCACTACGTAATGTAACAGTAATATTTAAAAAAAGCGGTGTTTTGATGTTTGTCCAGACATTGTATGTACCTCAGATTCTGCTTTGTGGGGATTGGCTCATAGTCTTGGGTTGTAAGTAAGTTGGATATTTGTAACCTAGGGGACTGCCTGTATATTTAGTTTCGAAGTGACCTCTGTGAAGTCTAAGTGTAGAAGAGTCTACACTGTGGCTGGCAGGTGAGATCAAAAGGCCAAATCACAACCATGTACCTACTGCACTGTGTGATGGGTTGGATAGATTCTAGGAATTCATAGACTTTTCATACGTCTCCCACAAATGCCATGCCTTATTAGAATGTTTAAATAAAAAATATTGCATTTTTTCACTTAAAAATATTGCCTATTCATTGTCAGATAATTTTGTGTTGTTGTTGTTAAGTGCCATTGAGTCAGTTCCTACTCATAGCGATCCTGTATAGGGTTTCCTAGAGTCCTGCTATGGCGCTGTGGGTTAATGCACTGGACTGCAAAGTCGACTTGAAGCGCAAGGTCGGCAGTTCAAGCTCACCACACACTCCTTAGAAACCCTATACAGGGTTTCTATGGGCCAGAACCAACTCAACATCACTTAACAACAACAATAGGGTTTCTGAGGAGCAACTGGTGAGTTTGAACTACCGACCTTGTGATTCTCAGTCCAGTGCTGATCCTACAGAGTCACACCAGGAGTCCAAGATAATTTTGGTTGTGGTGTTATTTGCCATGGAGTCGATTCTGACTCATAGTGACCCTGTACAGGGTTTCTGAAGCTGTAAATCTTAACATGGAATGGCTGGTAGTTTCGAACTGCTGATCTTGAGGCTAGAAGTCCGACTTACAACCACTACGCTACCAGAGCTCCTTACAGTAGTGGAAAAAGAAAATGAAAAATAAACCCAACCCCATCACTAAAGTTAACATCTTGTGGATCCTTTTATTTGCTTGCCTATCTATCTGAATCATCTTTTTATTGTACATATTGTTTTTTTTTTTTTTTAAGTTCTCTATACTGTATCAAAAGGAGCTCTGATAGCGTAGTGGTTATGAATCGGGCTGCTAATCTCAAGGTCAGCAGTTCAAAACTACCAGCTGTTCCGTGGGAGAAAGATGAGGCTTTCTGCTCCCGTAAAGATTTACAGCCTTGGAAACCCTGTACAGGGTTCTCTATGGGTAGGAACTGACTCGACGGCACTTAACAACAACAAAAACATACTGTAGTAATACATTATGACTATGTCATAATGTCATTAAAAGATTCTATTTGGAGTCCTTTTCAGTATCTTTTTGGTTCTTTTCCTTCCAACTTTCTAAAGACCCCACCCAGGCAAGGCCCTACTGTGTTGATACCCATTCCTATAGATGCCCTTGCTGTTGGTTGGTGGTTCCATCCAGTTGATTCCAAATCACAGTGAGCTGGTATAGCAGAGTAGAACTGCTCCAGGGCGTTTCCTAGATGGTCATTTTTTTCTTTGTAAGTTTTGATTGTGAATTGAGTGATAGTTTACATGGGCGAACATTGGTTTTACACTCATCATTTCATTGCGATGATTACAATCCCCTCCGTGCATCATCATTCAACAGTATTTGCTTCTTTCTATTCCCTCTGGTTTTTGTGGGTTGTTTTTTTTGGGGGGGTGGTTGGGTGGGGGTTGTACATGTAAGCACTCAGGAATATGTAGTAATTTAAATAGAGGGCACATACTGCAAGCCTGCCTGCTGCCCGCCAGCTCATCTAGGCTGTCATTTTTTTTCACAATTAAGGGGTTTATTAGGGATGTAAGACCTCTGGTGTGGTGCTGTAGGATAAGTACTGGACCATTAACCACAAGGTTGGCAGTTCAAACCCACCAGCCACTCTTGGAAATGCTACACAGGGTTACAATGAGTCAGAACTGACTTGATGGCACACAGCAACAATAACAACAAATATGCTATATTTCAGGATCAGGGAAATTCAGGATACAGTTCTTGGATCAGAACAGCTAGGCTGTCATTTTTGTGGGAGTAGATTTCCAGGTCTTTTCTCCAAGGAACCCCTGATGGATTCTAAACACTCATCTTTTTGTCAGCAGCTGAGCACTTAACCATGGGGCCACCAGAACTCCCTGTAGTTGTCAGGGACCAATCCCTGATCCCCTGCTCTTGTTCTCCCTCCCTGCCCTTCACACCTACATGTCTAGTTCTCCATCCTGTTGACATGTTCACGTTGACACCACTGGTGCAGCCAAAGTGAACCTCACTTAGCTCAGTTCTACAAGTGTCCTGTATGCTATGGCAGACACTGTGGGTAAACCTCAACTCCACTCCAGCTCCTCACAGCAGAGGCTGGAAAACTAAGAATGGACATTTAGCAAGTCTCCTTGCTGCTGGAGGTTGGAGTGGAATGGATCTTGCCAAGCAGTATGTGAGACTGGGAGAGACTGGTTTGGAGAGAGGGGATTGTGGGAGCTGCAATTCCTATGTGAGGCAGAACGACAGCCATCTTGGCAACCTCCTTTAGGTGTTTTGAAACCAAGTTTCCCCTTGGTTCAACTGAGGTTATCTTACTGGTAAAAACACTTGAAATTCCTTTACCTTCTAGAACTTAGCATACAACCTACAAGAATTCCTCTCTTTGGTCCTGGAACCTGAGATAATGAGATTAGACTAGTCAGGGCCAGGGAGCTCAGAAGCTACAGAATCTGCATTTGTTTACAGCTACACCCCTGTTCCTGGTCTACACTCACTTCCACCATGTGGGAAACACCAGACCTGGGCCTGGGAGCCGCTCGTGAGGTGACCGTACCAGATGAGCTACAACAACCCTTTCAGCTCTACTTTTTTTATTTCCACTGTCACACCTGTGATTGCCAGAGACAACCTAACAAAAGACTCCAGCTGAATCCAGGGTCACCAAGAAAAAATGGACTCATGTGTCCCTCTTCTGCTGAAGCCATGAAATCACTGCCCTGACCCCAGGAGTATCTAGGCATCCTTACCTCAGCGGTTGGAATGAGCCAGAGTTTATAAGGAGCCCAGTGTGCAGTAGACACTGGACAATGAACTGCAAGGTCAGCAGTTTAAACCCACCAGCGGTTCTACTTCTTGCTCCCGTAAAGATTTACAGCCGTGGCAATCCTATCTAGGGCCACTATGAGCCGGAATCGACTCAGTGGCAGTGGGTTTTGTTGTTATTCTGAACCCTGGTGTTGCCATGGTTAAGAGATAGGCTGCTTAACCAAAGGTTGGCAGTTGGAACTCATCCTGCAGCTCTGCGGGAGAACCATCTGGTGATCTGCTTCTGTAAAGACTTTAGCCAACCAACCAACCGACCCACTGCCATGGCGTCAATTTGGATTCACAGCGACCCTATAGAACAGAGTAGAACTGCTCCATAGGGTTTCTGAGGCTGTAATCTTTATAGAAGTAGGTGGGTGGGTTTGAACTGTGCACCTTTCAGTTAGCAGCGTAACCACTGTGCCACCAAGGGTCTTTTCTGTAAAGACTTTTTGTTGTTGTCAAGTGCCGTCAAGTCAGTTCTGACTCATAGCAACCCTGTATAGGTTTGTGAGGAGAGAATGGTGGGTTTCAACTTCCGACCTTGCTGTTAGCAGTCCAGTGCTTATCCTATAGCGCCACACGCGGACTCCAATATTGCAGCCTAGGAAATCCAATGGGACAGTTCTGCTCTGTCACATTGAGTTGCTAAGTCAGAATCAACTCAAAGGTTCATAACATAAGAGAAATGAGACCGTAGGCCTGGTTCTGAGCACTTCACAGATAGGATCTAATGTAACCTTAACAGCAGCACTATTGTAATGGAAGAATTGGAGACAGGGTGCCTCAGCCATTTGTTCTCAGCTGGTCATGCATTTGGCAGGTCAGGGAGCCGGGTGGTAGAATGCATTGTGTTCCAGACCTTCCCACGTCAACCAGTTCTCAGCCCTTCCCTTCCTTTGTAGGTCGAGACATGCTGTGGCGAAGTCCGCAGGGAATAATCCATGTCTGTGTCCAAGGAATTGAGGCATTCCTTGTTGGAGGGTGGTACAGACACTGCAGAGGGAGCACTTAGATGTCTGATTTGACGGCTAAGGCCAGCTTTCCCCAAGGGCCCCTGAGGCTCGAGAGGAAGGCAGAGGCTCACCTGGATCAGTTTCATGGGGTTTGGCCACAGGACAATGGTTTTCTTGGTGGAGAAGCCTTGCACTAACTTGTACACCACGTCCAGTTGCGGGTGAAGTGTATACACCCCGTCCAGGATTTTTACAAACTGCTCAGACACCAGCACATTCTGTGGTGGGGAGAGAAGGGACTTGTCATGGGGAGGAACCTGCCACTGGGCCACCTTCTTGGCTTGACCAGCAGGTTCCCCATCCCCTTTCCACCCAAGCCGAAGTCGGGATGCTTTGTCTCTTCCAGTTTGTTCTGACTCAATGACTTAGGTTTTCTAGTACGTGTGATTTGACTTATCAGTTTCTTTCATGATTTTGATGTTTTAACTGAGTGGCAGCTCAGCTCTCAGACTGTGACAGACAGATGAGTTACAACTTTAAGCAAATATTCTGAAATGTCCATTCTTTGTGAGTGTTGTTCTTTTGAGAAGGTGCCCTGGGAAGATCCATTCACCCACCCAATCATCCTGCATGGTTCACAATGAACTGGGAAATCCTCTTGGAACGGTCCTTAATACTGCCTGATAGGTTACAGGAGAAAAGTGTTCTGTGACGTAGTGTTTGACCAAACCTGGCAGCTCAACCAACTTGATCAACCTGCTTCATTCCTTAGATGTGGTTCTAGGTAGTTTTAAATAATTAAACCTATGCTTATAGGTTGAAGACCTACCCCCTTTGTAGATCTTCTAGAGAGTGTTCTAGAAGCTTCTGTAATGGAGGATTTCCCACACTATTTAGAGTTACGGCAGCACAGTTGACAGAATCAATGGAAAAGCTCATTGAGACCTTTTTCTTCTGGGTGCGGCACTGTGGGTTAATGCGCTGGATTGCAAAGTTGGTTTGAACTGCAAGGTTGGCGGTTCAAGCTCACCAACCGCTCCTCAGAAACCCTATACAGGGTTACTGTGGGTCAGAACTGACTTGACGGCAGTTAACAACAAGTGTCAAAGCAGCATCTCTTCTGAAGTCTCCCAAGGCACCAAGGCAGTGGCCCCACCCGTGCCTTCAGGTTGCACTTCAGGGAGAGAAACAAAAGCCATCCAAACGGAATGCCTAGCTTGGCATTCAGAGGCTCAGAGGCAAGATGGGGAGTGGGGACCAAGGCAGCATCTGGGGATGCAAAATCAGAACTGTAGAGACAGTGTGGAGAGAGGGTAGTAGGAGAGAAAAACAGAGCTCAAGAAAGAGCCTGGGGCAGGGAAGAAGAGAGAGAATGAACCAAGGAAAAAGAAACACAGGCATTTTCTGTAATGTTCTGTCATCTGTGGCAGAAAATTTATGGACAAACTTCATTATCTTTGAATTCCATTTGTCCATAAACTTTTTTAAGCCCCCTTATATAAATCCAAATTTTACTTATTGTTCAATTCCAAGGGACTTGAATGTAAGTATTCAAAGTATCACTGATAGTGCAAATCATTAAAACATCATATTTGTGCATGTAAAAAAAAAAAAGGTATAAGGGTTCTAATATTGTACCTTCCTGGAACTCAAGCACTCTAGAGTATGAGGTACAAGTCCTAGGTTTTCTCCTTGTCATGTGTCTCAATTGCTGTGTGTCCTAGTGAAATAACCTAACCCCTCTGTTTTAGTTTCCTCATATGTAAAATGGAAAATAAGGAAAAGTACTTGATTTGTTTCTCAGAGTATGATCAAACAAACTGACATACATAAAATCATTTTTTTGGAGGAGGGTGCAGAAATTATGAAAACTGCTGATAAACATAGAATATTGTTCATACCAGTTACCACCTCTGTGGTCATTCAGGTGCACTTCATTGGACTTTTCACTGTAATTAAGGCTTTTTCACCCTCAAATACTGCTCTGAGTACAATAGACCAAGTTGTTGCTGTTGTTAATTGCTATCAAGTCGGTTCTGACTCATAGCGACCCTGTATAGGGTGTCCAAGATGCGGCTGGTGAGCTTGACTCGCCAACCTTGAAGTTCAAACTGACCTTGCAGTCCAGCACATTAACCTGCAGCGCCACACCAGGACTCCATAGACCAAGTTATGAACTGTAAATTCAAGAATATTCCTGCTTTAACATCCGTGTTCTAGAATTCTTGTGATTCTGGAACTGTTGTGGGATCCAGGGTCACCCATCAGCAATGCTGACTGTAAATGAATCCTGTTTTGGGGTTCTCCTGCCTTCCTATTTGCATCTTACCTCTCTTCTCAGACCCACCCTCGGAAGGTCTGAGAAATTATTTCACAGTCATGTTATTAACTAAATGGCTACCCTTACAGAACGGATCCCTGAAGAGAGCCGAGTTGTCCCAAAAGGAGCATTAGTGTGTCGGCCTATTGGGAGCAGAGGAGCTGACACTGGCAGGAGACACACAGTGGCATGGTGTTGCTGCCACCCTCTCTGATGTGAGCAACTGCGGTCTGACTACTCACGGCAATGTCTAACTCTTCCATCTTGGATTTGGGGTTCCGCTTGATGGACGTGATAAGTAAAACAGCCCCCTCCATAGTCAGAGGGTTCAGGAAAAGCTGTGGGAGGAGAGATGAGACAGAAGGAGGCTGAAGTGGGGCCCAGAGAGGCAGGCTCAGATCATGGCTTCATTTTCTTCTCACCAAATCATAATCTCTGTCTTTCCCCCAGACTTCTCTGTGAGCATCTGTCTCTCTGTCATTCATCCATTCTTTCATCCATCCACCTATCCATCCATCCATCATCCATCCACCTATCATCCATTCATACATACATGCATCCATTCATTCATCCACCCACCCAGCCGTCCATTCATCCCCCATCCATCTATCCATTAATCACCCATCCAGTAATCATCTATCCATTCATCCATGTATACATTCATTCATCCATCCATTCATCCACCCTCCCTCCATCCATCACCCATTCATCCATCCATCATTCATTCATCCATCCATTCATCAATCCACCCCCTCCATTCATCCATGTATACATTCATTCATCCATCCATTCATCCACCCTCCCTCCACCCATCACCCATCCATCCATCCATCATTCATTCATCCATCCATTCATCAATCCACCCCCTCCATCCATCATCCATTCATACATACATATCCATTCATTCATCCACCCACCCATCCATCCATCCATCCATTTGTATATCCATTCATCCACATATTCATCCATCCCTCATCCATCCACCCATCCATCCACCATCCATTCATACATATATCCATTTATTCATCCACCTATCCATCCATGCATTCATCCACCTATCTATCCATCCATCATCATCTGTTCATCTATCCATCCATCCATTCATTCATCCATCCATCCACCCATCATTCATTCATTCATATATACATACATCCATTCATTAATCCACCCACCCATCCATCCATCCATTCATCCACCTATCCATTCATCCATTATCCATTCATTAATCCACCCACCCATCCATCCATTCATCATTCATTCATCCACCCACCCATCTATCCATTAATCATCTATCCATTCATCCATATATCCAACCATCATCCATCCATCCATCCATCACCCATCCATTCATCCATCATCCATCCATCCATCCATCCAACCATCCATCATCCATACATCCATTCATCCACACACCCACCCATCCATCCATTCATCCATCCATCCATCCATTTACCCACCATCTATCCATCCATCATCCATTCATACATGCATACATACCCCACCCTCCATCCATCCATCCATCCATCCATCCATCCATCCATCCATCCATCCATTCATCCATCCATCTATTCATCCATTGACCCATTCATCCACCCAGTCATCCAGCCAGCCAGCCAGCTATAATCCATTCATTCATACATCCATTCATCCATTCATTCATCCACCCATCCATTCATCCATCCATCCACCCAAAGGTGACATTGAGTTTACTACAGAGTCAAAAATATAGACATATAGGAAGGACAAGACAGAGCTCCCCAAGGAGTCTCTCTATAATATCCAGCACCATCACTCTGATACCCCCTCCTTTCCAACACACACATAATGACCTGTTTTCATCTTAGGTAAAGACCTTACCTTCAGGACTTTGAGGCTTTCATTGGACTCAAGTCCTTTGCTGATCTTGGCGGCTCCGTCATTGGTGATGTCATTGCTGCTGAGATCTAAGTAGACCAGGGAACTGTTGACTCTGATGACCTCAGCTAGGGCCTGAGCCCCTTCATTGCCAAATCCATTCATGGAGAGATCCAATGTCTTCAGGGTCACATTAGACTCCAGAGAGAGGGGAGAACAGCACCAGCATCAAAGTTGCATGTGATTCCTCTACTCACTTTGGTCCTGATTTCTTACCCCCTGCTGGCATCTAGACTGGACTTGTAGTAGTCCTTAGAAGATGCAGGTTGGCTAAATCTTTCCAGGTCCCTCCCAGCTGGACTCAGAGCCCCTTCCAAGCACAGGGACCTCGTTGATCATTATTTACCCTCTAATTAAACTGATCCAGCAGGGTGAATTTACATGGGTAGGATTTATACTAAACAACAAAGGGCATCCAGGAATTGTGGATGGAAGACCAACAACATGAAAAGCAATTGATGGGAGCTCAGTAGGGCCTCATCACAGGTGAGGAGCAGACTCAAGATGGTGGGGACTGGGGTGCCCTGACCATCCCCACTGGGCCTCAACATGACCTGAGGGCACCTTACCCGGAGACCACTGCACAAGGCCACAGCTCCCCGTGTATGGATTTGATTCCAGCTCAGATCCAGCGCCTGGAGCCCTACATTGAGGCCTGAAAGGAGTGGGAGTCATCTTAACATGCCTTACATCCCAATGAACCACATCTCAAGAGTTCACAGGAATCCGTGACATTGGAGACAAGAACTGATCAATGGTCAGACAAAGTGAAATGGGAGGTATTATTTTTTCAGGTATGAATTTAAATACAAAAGTGCCAGATGATCTCAACACTGGCAGAACTGTAAAATAGTCATACCTGTATTGCAGGTGACAAGTACATTGGTAGAATTTGTTTAGTAAGTCACAGATCTTTTCTCATTAAAATGTACATATTCCATCACACAACAATATCATCTTTGAGACCTTACTTAAAGGGGACAGTGCAGAAGATGGGAAGAGATGCATGTTGAGAGAGATTTACTACGCTATCGCTTATACAAGTAACACTTGTGACTATCCAAGGAAGGGGTACATTTTTGGTTTTGTTTGTCCAGTTGCTGTCAAGTCAGCACTGACTCATAGCGATCCCATGTGTGTCAGAGTAGAACTGTGCACCATAAGCTGCTAACGGAAAGACTGGAGCTTCTAGTCCACCCAGAAATGGCTTAGAACAACTTGATGTACTTGCATAAAATCAGCCATTCAAAACCACTTGGAGCACAGGTCTACTGATGCTTATAGGGTCACCATGAGTTGGGATTTACTGGATGGGGACTGGTTTAAGCATTGTGGGATATTACCCAACTATTAAAATAGATGGCCAGAGTACAGAAAACCGTGGGGTCCTCACTGTTGGATTTACTACAGGCTGTGTGGAGACTGACTGGAGCAGCGGTAGATCCAGATCACAATCAGCTGAAAGTGGAGAGCCCTTAGGCTTGTTTTGACACTGTGTTTGCACAGAAATCACACTTTTCTTTTTCAAACTTAAAATGCTTTCATTTACATGTCCTAGAGGATTGGGAAGACACCACCTTTAAAACACATTATCATTGTACTTTTTCTTTGTGGGAATATTTATGTATCCATTATACTGAGGATGTCATTAGAAAGAGTGTCTTTGAACGCTTACTGAATGTATTCTATTTTATTTCATTTCACTTTATTTACACTGCACTGTGTACTGATCATCTCTCTCTTTTTGTATCCCACTAGGATATATTTTAGGAAGCACTGTGGCTCTGTAGGATAAGCACTGGATGACTAACTACAAGGTTGGCGGTTTGAGTCCACCAGGGAGAAAGATGAGGCTTTGTATTCCCACCAAGATTTACAGCCTCAGAAACCCTATAAAAGGTCACTATGAGTCAGAACTGACTCAGAATACTTCACACCAAGGATGTACTTTTAGTAAAACTCACAATACCTTATATCATTTTGATAACATTTCTTGTCTTCTCTCTCCCCTTCTCTGTGTGTACCCACCTTTCCTCTTCTCTGCCAATGATCTCATCTGTTTAAGTTGTATCTTACACACTTGCATGTTTTAAATGGCCACAGAGTTTACATTTTTTAATTCTGATCTCACCACTTACTAGCTGGGGACGTTGTAATTGTTAACTGCTGTCTAGTCGGTTCCAACTCATAGTGACCCTGTATAGGGTTTCCAAGGAGTGGCTGGTGGATTTGAACCACTGATTTTGCAGGTAGCAGCACAGTACTTATCCTACGTGCCACATGAGGACGCTACCTGGTAACCTTGTCATTGTTGTTGTTATGTGCCGGGGAGCCAGTTCCTACTCATAGCAACCCTGCACAAGGTTTCCGAGGCTGTAAATCTTTACGGGAGCAGAAAGCCTCATCTTTCTCCCACGGAGCAGCTGGTAGTTTAGAACTGCTGGCCCTGAGGTTAGCAGCCCGATTCGTAACCACTACGCTACCAGAGCTCCTTCAGAGGCTACTTATCTTCTTCCCCTTACTTCTCTTCTTTATCTTTAAAATAGAGACATTAACCTTTTCGGGTTTTTGTGAGGATCGATGGAAAATCTCTGTCATGGGACCTGTCGCATACCACCACCAGCACCAGTTGCCACTGAGTCAACTCCATATGCATCCATAGGGAGCACGTTGGCTGATATTTTAGCAGTAGATCACCAGGCCTTTCTTCTGAGGTACCTCTGAGTGGACTTGAACCTCCAACTTTTTGATTAGCAGTCAAGCACATTAACTTTTTGCCACACCCAGGGACTCCTGCCTGTTTCCTGATAATCATTTAACAAATAAATAGTAGCTTTAATAATAGTAAAAATATTTCTGAAAGCTGTACATGCAGTATTATAACTACACTGAAACAGAATGTAGTCTGTCTCTGTTTATAATTCTGACCTCAATTGTGTTTTTGGAAAAAACTTCTTGTGAATTGAGTGGAGGATTACAGAGCATTACATTAATCAAACCATACATTTTGTTTCATTACAATGGTTGTAATCCCCTCCATATACCATCTGTTAACAGTTGTGAAATGCTGTTGAGTTGGTTCCGACACATAGTGGCCCTGTGTAGGGCTTCTGAGGAACAGCTGGTGAGCTTGAACCATCGCCCTTGCAGTTTAAAGCAACTTTGCAGTCTAGCACATTAACCCACAGTGCCACACCAGGACTCCTCAGTTAACAGTATTTACCTCTATCTTCTTTAACTCTTACCTTCCTCCCTGTGTGTTCCCCTCCCTTCATCTGTCTTCTGCCGACCTCCCTCTTGTTGTATATTGCCTTCCCCATCACCCAATTCAATTTGTGTCTACCCTCTGTTGTTGTTAAGTGCCGTCAAGTCGGTTCTGGCTCATAGCGACCCTGTAGAGGGTTTCCGAGGAGCAACTGGTGAGTTTGAACTGCTGACCTTGCTGTTCAAACCGACTTTGTGGTCCAGTGCTTACCCAGTAGCACCACACCAGGATTCTGTCTATCCTCTGTTGTTGTTAGGAGCTATTGAGTCGGTACCAACTCATAGCGACCTTATGCACAACAGAATGAAACACTGCCCGATCCTGGGCCAACCTCACTACTGTTGCCACGCTTGAGTCCATTGATACTGCCACTTGGCCAATGCATCTCATTGAGGGGGTTTCCTCTTTTTCTCTGCCCCTCTTCCTTACCAAACATGATGTCCTTCTCCAGTGACTGGTCCCTCCTGACAATATGTCCGAAGTATGAGAGACGAAGTTTGGCCTTCTTGGCCTCCAAGGAGCACTCTGGCTGCACGTCTTCCAAAACGGATTTATTGGTTCTTTTGGCAACCCATGGCACTTTCAATATTCTCCTCCAATACCACACCTCAAAAGCATCAATTCTTCTATGGTCTTCCTTATTCACTGTCCAGCTTTCGCATGCATATGAGGTTATTGAAAATACCATGGCTTGAGTCAGGCGCACCTTAGTCCTCAAGCTGACATCCTTGCTCTTCAACACTTTTAAAAAGGTTTTGTGCAACAGATTTGCCTAATGCAATACATCATCTGATCTCTTGACTGCTGCTACTATGAGTGTTGATAGTTGATCCAAGAAGAATGAAGTCCTTGACAACTTCAATCTTTTCTCCATTGATAAAAATGTTGTTTATTGGTCCAGTGGTGAGGATTTTTATTTTCTTGACATTGAGATGCAATCCATATCGAAGGCTGTGCTCTTTGATCTTCATAAGTAAATGTTTCAAGTCCTCTTCACTTTCAGCAAGCAAGCTTGTATCATCTGCCTATTGCAGGTTGTTAATGAGTCATCCTCCAAACTTGATGCCACGTTTTTCTTCATATAACCCAGCTTCTTGGATTATTTGCTCAGCATACAGGTTGAATAAGTATGATGAAAGAATACAACCTTGTTGCACACCTTTCTTAATTTTAAACCATTCAGTGTTCCCATGTTCTGTTCGAACAACTGCTTCTTGGTCCAGATACAGATTCCTCATGAGCACAATTAAATGTTCTGGAATACTCATACTTTGCAATGTTGTCCATAGCTTGTCATGATCCACACAATCGACAGCCTTTGCGTAATCAATAAAGCACAGGTAAACATCTTTCTGATATTCTCTGCTTTCAGCCAAGATCCATTGGATGTCTACCCTCTAGCCAGTGAATAATTCTCTCTTTAGACTTCAGTTTTTAAAGGGAGACTCAAACTGCCCAACAAGTCTTGTACACTGCCTTTAGTGTGCTGGCTCTTTCTTCTTAAATGCTCTTGTATAGCTTCTTCTCTCCCCTGAGACCTATCACCCACCAACCCACACTCAGCTCAAGGTCATGCCTCACATCTCACTGTGAAAATAGCAGTACTGTGATGGGAGGTCCTTGGCTTCCCAACAGGTCTTCACAGGTAGCCATTCTTGGACTTTTACTCTTTCAGTGAATGAACTGTCCTCCTACTCTCCTAGGCCACCCCTCCATCTGGCCTTTTTATGGACTTTGATACCATCCATAGTGACCTTTTCTCTTTACTGCATCATCAGTTTCTGATTCTTTCGTTGGATTTTTCTTTTTCCTATCAGCATCTTTCATCTGTAAAAACCCTCCCTGGACTCCTCCTCCCCTCTTCTATCACCTCCTCATCTTTCTCTTCCAACACTTAACAACAAAACAAGTCATCTTTTTAATCGTGCAAATGTTGCCAATTTCTCCTCCCGATCTGTTGTGTGTCTGAACTTTGTCCATGATGTCTTTTATCATTGGTAAGTTTTTAAAACTTATTGTTGACAAATGTATCTATCATTTAAAAAATAGTATATGCTAACTGTGGTACATTAAAGGTTCCCAGGTGGCTTGACTGTCACACTGTAGGATTAACACTGGACTCCTAGCCACAAGGTCAGTGGTTCAAGCCCACCAGCCACTCCTCAGAAACTCTAGACAGGATTGCTATGTGTTGGAACCAACCTGACAGCACTTAACAACTACTAATCTTCAGGTTGGTGGTTTGAACTTTCCAACATCTCTGCGGAAGAAAGACCTGGCAATCTGCTTCCATACAGATTTCTGTTGGCACAGTTAGTCAATTCCTTTGCATGGCAACTCCATGTGTACACAGTACAACTATGCTCTGTAGGGTTTTCCAAGGCTGTGGCCTTTGGAAGGATATCACTAGGCTTGTTTTCCAAAGTGCCTCTGGGTGGGTTTAAACCACCAGCCTATTTGAGCCACTCAGAGGCTTCCCATAAAGAGGATACCCTAAGGACTAGTTGTGCTCTGCAGTATACAAGTTACCATGAGCTGGAATCATTACAGTGGCAATAGGTTTTGATTTTTTGCTGTTGTTGTTGTTAAGTGCCGTCCAGTTGTTAACCTTGTGGTTCAAACCAAGCTTGCAGTCCAATGCTTTATCCCAAAGTGCCACACCAAGACTGCTTAATTTACCTTCCTGAGTTATTTTTCTGTCTCTGTTCTTCTAATCATTGTAAAGTTAATCTTCCTACAGGGGCTGTTCTGTCAGGGAGTCTCCCCACGCCCTCCCTCCTCCGGGTAGAGTTACCCAGCATCTGTCCCAAGTACTCTCCTCCCTTATCCGATAGTTGGTTGTGACTGAGATCCAGTTTCTTAATTCGATAATTGGTCTGGAAAAAGAAACAGAATGATTATTTTTTTTCTCTTCTGTTTGCAAATATCTCGCTTATCTCAGGCAATGGAATGAATGACACCCACCAAAAATGAAATGAGCTAGGGTGTTCACCCTCGGAAACCCTGTACAGGGTCGCTATGGGTCGGAACCGACTCAACGGCACTTAACAACAACAACAACAAAGGGTGTTCAGACAGAAGGCAATTTCTGATTCTTTTTTTTTTTTTTCTTATTCGTTATTGTTACTACTGGTAGCTTTTGGGAGAATTGAGTGTCCTTCCAAAAGGCCTACCATTTACTGTGGCTTTTGCCAGATTAGCAAGTTCAAACACTCGCCAGCTCCCCTCAACCAGGCCAATGGCCTCACTTCACTATGCCCACAGCAGCCCCCAGGACCCTAGGGATGTTCCCACGGGGCTCGGCTAGACCCCTCGCTTCTTACCGACAAGGCTTGACAGAACAGTGCCGCAACTTCTTCCTTGAATTTATTTCCTGTGACAAGGGAGATGTATTAGCAATACACTCCAGACTAGGGTGCCCCTGCTCCATCCAGATCCTAGCCCTGGGGGTCTCTTCCCTTGGAACAATCTGACTAGAAAATTGGCAAGCATTTAAAGCAAGTATTGCACAGACACAGGAGTCCTGGTGTGGCACTATAGGTCAATGCACCAGACTGCAAAGCCATTTGAACTGCAAGGTTGGAGGCTCAAGCTCACCAACTGCTCCTCGGAGACTCTATACAGGGCTGCTATGGGTCAGAACTGACTTGACGGCACTTCACAACAACAACAGCACTATGGACACAGAAGAAACCAGGAGGAAAAGAACAGCCATATAGCATCCCCTTTCATTTCTCTTCTCTCCCTGCCAGGGCTGTCCAGGGAGTTAGGAATGGGAGCATCATGGCACGGACTTGTAGTGATCCTAGTCTGTAGCTTCATAAAAAATGTGAATTCAACATGTCAGCATTAGGGCAAGAACTAAGCAAACAGAGTGAGGTGCTTGCCATGGGTACAGAATTTAAGGGATTCCCCAAAGCTCAGGAATCCAGAGAAATAATTTCTAAATGCAGTATTCAAAAATCAGAAGAAGTGCAAAAAACTATGATAAGTAACATTTTAAAATGTTAAATACAGAAACTGACCTAGTACTTACCCAATTTGTCTTACTCACCTCACCTCAATCTCCTTCTCTCAGATCCTTTTTTATTTTTAAATTTGATATTTTGTCCATGATGATATTTTTTTTAAGTTTTAAAATTTTGTATTGTGGTAAAATAAATGGAACAAAACATTTCAACCCTTTTTACATTCATTGTATTATGTAACAATCACCACGACCTGTTTCCAAATTTGTCATCATCATTAACAAAAGCACTGTATTTCTTAATACCATCTCTCCCCCAGCCCCTCTCCTCATCCACCTGCCCCAGCAAACCACGAATAGATGTTGGTTTCTGTACATTTGCCTATTCTGAATAATTCAAACAATATTCGTCCTTGGACTCTTTTCACTCGGAATGTTTTCCAGGTTCATCAGTGTCATGACATATATTAGAACTTCATTTCTCTTTGTTGTTGTTAAGTGCTGTCAGTTCAAACTTGTTAAGTGCCATCAAGTCAGTTCCGACCCTTAGAGACCCCTGTATAAGGTTTCCGAAGAGCAGCTGGTGAGCTTGAACCACCAACCTTGCAGTTCAAATGGCTTTGCAATGTGGCGCATCAACCCACAGCGCCACACCAGGACTCCTCATAGTGACCCTTTATAAGGTTTCCATGGAGCAACTGGTGGGTTTGAACCACTAACCTTGTAGCTAGCAGTCCAGTGTTTATCCTGCAGTGCCATACCAGAACTCTTTATAATTGAGTAACATTCCGTAACACATTTCATTTAATTATTCATCCGTTGATGGACACTTGAGTGTTTTCTACCTTTTGGCTGTTGTGACTAGTGCTACAGTCGGCATTGTACCTGTTTGCATCTCTGCTTTTGGATTTCAAGGAGTGGAAATGCTGGGTCATAAGGAGTCCTGGTGTGGCGCTGTATGATAAGCACTTAAGAGCTAATCGCAAGGTAGGCAGTTCAAACCCACCAGTCACTCCTTGGAAACCCGATATGGGGTCACTATGAGTAGAAACCAACTCTACGGCACTTAACAACACCAAAGGAGCCCTGGTGGCACAGTGGTGAAGAGCTTGGCTGCTATCCAAAAGGTCGGGGATCAATCCCAGCAGTTGCTCTACTGGAGAAAGATGTGACAGTGTGCTTCTATAAAGATTTACAGCCTTGGATAGCCTATGGAGCAGCTCTACACAGTTGTAGAGGGGGCACAATGAGTCCAAATCGATTCGACAGCACCCAGTTTTGATGAGGTAGTTAGAAACCAGCCATGCTGTGTTCCATAGTGGCTGCACCATTTTTCGAGCCCACCATTTGTGGATGAAGGTTCTGATTACTCCATGTTCTTGCCAGCGCTTGTTATTTTCCATTTTTCTGATCATAGCCATCCTAATGTGTATGAAGTAGTATCTCATTTTGATTTGCATTTCGTGGTGCTGTAGGATAAGCACTGGACTGCAAGGTTGTTTGAATTGCAAGATCAGCAGTTCAAATTCATCAGTTGCGCCTTGGAAACCCTATACTGGGTTACTATGAGTGGGAACCGACTTGATGGCAATTAACAACAACAACAATGATATATTATGAGGAGGGACCAGTTCCTGGAGAAGGACATCATGCTTGGTAAAGTGGAGGGTCAACAAAAAAGAGGGAGACCCCTAACAAGATGGATTGGCACAGTGGCAGCAACAGTGGGCTCAAGAGTAACAACTATTGTGAGGTTGGCACAGGACTAGGCAGTGTCTCGTTCTATTGTACATAAGGTTGCTATGAGTCGGAACCAACTTGATGGCACCAAACAACAATGAGATCGAAGGATTCTATAGACAAAATATTGAATGATACAGAAAACATTAAAGAAGATGGAAGGAATACACTGTACCAAAAAGAAATGGTCAATGTTCAACCATATCAAGAGGTAGCATGTGACCAAGAGCCAATGGTACTGAAGGAAGAAGTTTGGGCTGCACTGAAGGCATTGACAAAAACAAGGCTCCAGGAATTGACAAAATTGACAGAAATGGAAATCTTTTCAACAAACTGATGTAGTTAGTACTAGAGGCATTCATTCATCTGTGCCAAAAAATTTGGAAGATGGCTACCTGGCCAACTGATTGAAAGAGATCCATATTTATGTCCATTCCAAAGAGAGGTCCATTCCCAAAAGAATTCAGAAATCAGCAACAATATCATTAAGATCACATACAAGTAAAATTTCCCTGAAGATAATTCAAAAGCAGTTTCAACAGCACATGGACAGAGAACTGCCAGAAATTCAAGCCAGATTCAGAAGAGGATGTGGAACTAGGGATATCATTGCTGATGTCAGATGGATCTTGGCTTAAAGCAGAGAATACCAGAAAGATGTTTACTTGTGCTTTATTGACTATGTAAATTCTTTTGACTGTGTAGATCATGATAAACTATGAATAATATTGCAAAGAATGGGTATTTCGGAATACTTAATTGTGCCCATGAGGAACCTATATATAGAACAAGGAACAGTTGTTAGAACAGAATAAGGGAATATTGGTTTAAAATCAGGCAAAAGTGTGTGCCAAGGTTGTATTTTTTCACCATACTTATTCAATCTGTATGCTGAGCAAATAATCCAAGAAGATGGATTATATGAAGAAGAACATGGCCTCAGGATTGAAGGAAGACTCATTAACAACCTGTGATATGCAGATGACAATCTTGTTTTCTGAAAGTGAAGAGGACTTAAAAGTACTACTTAAAATCAGTATGGATTGCATCTCAATGTAAAGAAAGAAAAATCTTCACCACTGGACCAATAAACATCATGATAAATGGAGAAAAGATTGAATTTGTCAAACAAACACTTCATTTTGCTTGTACCCTCCATCAGTACCCATGGAAGCCAAGAAATATGACATGTTGTATTAGGCAAATCTGCTGCATAAAGTGTTCAAGAGCAAAACTAACAGTTGGAGGATGACCAAGGTGCTCCTGATCATGGTATTTTCGATTTTGCCTCATATGCATGTGAAAGTTGAACAGTGAATAAGGAAAACCGTAGAAGAACTGTTGCATTTTGAGTTATGGTGTTGGAGAAGAATATTGAAACCACCATGGACTTCCAGAAGAATAAACAAATCTGTGTTGGATGAAGTATGGCCAGAATACTCCTTAGAAATCAGGATGTCGAACTTTGTCTCTCATACTGTGGACTTGTCATCAGGAGGGACAAGTCTCTGGAGGAAAGACATCATGCTTGGTAAAGTGGAGGGTCAACAAAAAAGATGAAGACCCCCATCAATATCAATTGGCATTCGGGCAGTAACAATGGGTTGAAACTTTTCAACAATCATGAGGATGGTGTAGGATGGGACAGTGTGTTGTTCTGCTGTGTGTAAACTGGCTATGAGTCACAGCTGACTTGAGGACACCTAACAACACTAGAAAAACTAGCTTTACCAGGGGTGGGGTGGGATGGTTCTAAATGCTCGTTTCCTAAAAGGCAGGAAAGGCAAGGTGATGATTTAAATTCCAGTGGGCCTGGCAACAGACCAGCAGAACTTTTCCAAGTCTCTTCCACATGCTTCTGGACTATGAAATCATGAGAGCAGAAACCATCCCTTCATCATCTTTCTTTCTCCAGCACCTAACCAGTGCTTGGCACATAATAGGTGCTTAGTAAATGCTGAGTTAATGGAAGAATAAACAGGTTCATCAAAGCACAAATACTTCTTAGGCTCAGTCTGATGCCAGTGCAATGAAAATGAGATTATAAATTAGTCAGTGTATAAAATGAGATAATATGTTGTTCAGATTACTGTGTTTACAACCAGAGAATCATTTGGGAAGTTTGACAATCTGATAAATGCCAGATGTCTCCTTAAAAGATTCTGGTTCTGAGCTGGGCTAGGGCTGGGTCATTTGCAATTTTTACAAAGAGTTGTCAACATTGTATCAACATTATGTTAGAGGTATTAGCTAATGCAACCCAAAACAATCATTAACCCATTGCAATTGAGTCGGTTCCAACTCATTGCAACCCTATAGGGCTACTTGCTAGGGTTTCTGAGATTGTCAGTCTATGGGAACAGACAGTTTCATCTTTCTCCCACGGAGCGGCTGATGGGTTTGAATTTCCGATCTTACAGTTAGCAGTCCAGTGCTTATCCTACAGCAAGTTTTTTTTTTTTTAATGTTTTATTGTGAATTATGTGATAGTTGACATGGGAGAACATTAGTTTTACATTCATTCTATCATATATCGTCTCATTGCCATGGTTACAATTCCCTCCATGCAATCCTTCCCCCGTGCCCCCCAGGTCTTCAGCACACAGTCGCTCTCCCTCTCTGGATCCAAAGTCTCCAGCTGCTCCATAGCTCCCCGTCATCATCTC